AGGAGGACAGAAGGATGGAGGCAGAGTCCCAGAGCGAAAATGCGACCAGCAGGGGCTAGGAAAGCGAGCTGGGGACCAGGGAGCAGTTGGACAGGCAGGGATGGACGTCTGAGGCAGCTAGAGCGCAGGGCTCATAACCTGTTAGCTGCAGTGGGCCTCAAAGGGGTCACAATGGCCTAAGTCGAGCTCTGTAAGTCTTTTCATTGCAAGGAAACTGTGCTACACACCTAAGTCGAGCTCTGTAAGTCTTAAGGACTGCAGAGTCGACTCAGGCGCAGATGACGGCGCACAGAGCGCGTGGGAACTAGCTAACACGACCATACACTAAGTGGCGCTGGAATGGCGCCAAACGGACCAGAAATGCGTAAGGTAGACACTATTCTAGAGTGCAGTCAGATCTACAGAAATGGAGACTACTAGTGAAAGAAATGTAGTATCTGTATGGAAACGAGAGTTGTGACTATACGAAAATTACCGTAGATGGCGGACAGCGCGAACTATGTATGGCGCGATGCGGGACTTGGTGCGATTAAAATCGACGCCGCTACAGCACCGACTCCAACATCTCATGCCCTCTCGCCTGCAGAACGCAACTATCAGATCTACGACAAAGAGCTCCTCGCAGTGGTCTGCGCCTTCGAGACCTGGCAGCACTACCTCAAAGGGTCCCCCCACGTCATCCAAGTAATCTCTGACCACAAGAACCTCACCTACTGGCGGTCCGCACAGAAGCTGACCCGACGCCAGGCCCGATGGAGTGCGTTCCTCGGCCAGTTTCACTTCGAAATCCACCACCACGCCGGGAAGACCTTGACCCAAGCCGATGCCCTGTCCCGCCGCCCCGACCATGCGGATGGGAAGCGTGACAACGAGGACGTTGTCGTCTTAAATGACGGGGTATTTATTCGAGCTGTCACTGATGATCTACTGCTGCGAATCAAGGACACCACCCAGAAGGACACTAAGGTGGTACAGACCAGCTGTCGGGGACGTCTAACCCTCGTCAAGCCACCTCCGTACGGCAAACCCAAAGACTGGAAGCTGGACAATGGTGTTGCCAAGTATCAGGGCAAGATCTACATCCCTCCGAATGAAGACCTGCGACGCGACATTGTCCGGATACATCACGGCCCGGCAGTAATGGGCCACCCCGGACAGGACCAGAACATCGAACTTGTCTCATGTCAGTACAGTTGGGGCGGAATGGAAAACTTCATCTGCAAATTCGTTCAAGGATGCGCCATCTGCCAAGGATCCAAGGTTAACACCCACCCCGTGAAAGCTCCCGCCATGCCTATTCCCCACACAGGAAACACACGACCGTTTTCGGTCATCACCATGGATCACATCACGGGCCTTCCAATGTCCAACGGATTCAACACCATTCAAGTGGTAGTAGATCACGACACCACCAAAGGCGCAGTCATCACCCCTTGCACTATCAACGTCACCGCCTTGGAAGCAGCCGAACTACTGTTCCGAGATGTCTACAAACGGTTTGGAGCCCCTCAGAGGATCATATCCGACCGAGGACCCCAGTTCGCGTCCAGGGTTTTTCAAGAACTGCAACGACTCGTAGGAGTCAAGACTTCCCGATCCACGGCGTATCACCCTCAGACGGACAGACAGACAGAACGAGTCAACTAGGAGATCAACTTGGCTTTGCGCATCTACTGCCTCAATGACCCAGACAGCTGGTCGGACAAACTCCCCGCCTTCGAGTTCTGCCACAACCAACGCAAGCACTCCGTTACGGGCAAGTCTCCGTTCGAACTCATCATGGGCTACAACCCCGACGTATTCCCCAACTCCCTCTCTCCGTCCGCACACCCGAGCGCGGAAGAACGAATCCAGCAACTCCTCGAAGACAGAGTCAATGCGGAAGCCGCGCACAACCGAGCAGCGGAAATCATGGCCCGAAGGGCTGGAACCAAGCCGGTCACGTTCAAGAAAGGCGATAGGGTCCTCCTCGAATCAACCAACCTCAGACTCCCCTATCCCCACCGGAAGTTAGCCCCGAAAAGGGAAGGACCCTTCAAGATCGATGAGATCATTGGTCCAGTCACAGTTCGGCTGAAACTCCCTAAGGCCTGGAAGATCCATGACGTCTTTCATGTAAATCTACTCAAACCTTATCGAGTCACCAAGGAACACGGTCCGGACTACCCCAGACCGCCTCCGGAGACCGTAGAAGGCGAAGAAGAGCGGGAAGTCGAGGCCATCTTAGCCCATCGGAAACGTGGGAAAGGCTATCAATACTTCGTCTCTTGGAAGGGCTGGCCTAGCAGCGAAAACTCGTGGGTTTCCGGGAAGGAGATGACTAATGCGCCGAAGCTCCTCACCAAGTACAAGAAGCAACAGCGACTCTAGGGAACGACCTCAACCCACTCCGCTCTCCCACCAATCCTCACCATGCCCCAACTCGCCTCCACCTACCGCGCTGCCCCCGAAGATGTCCCCACCCCTCAATGGTTCCTCAACCACGATTTCCACCTCTCTTTCCTCCACCTACCCGGCAACGAAGTCGCCGGATACGGTGAACCCTCCCCACGCCAATACGTTGGGTGGCTTCTTCTGCAACCCAACCCGGAATTGCGCAACGTCTTGGAATGGCGATTCCGGGACGTCCCGCCTGCCGGTCATGCCTGGGCCATCTATGGCGAGTCGGTTGTCACTCTCACCCACCTCCGGACCCTCGACTGGGACGTCGGCGAGCTCACAGATGTTACAAATGCCCTGTGGGGGCGTCTCTTCGTTCCTTTCTCCTCGTATCCTCTCTACCATGCATTCTCTCTTCTTACGGCACAACCCGGACACTCGTACCTACCATGGTTCCAACACCGTGCTTCATATCCCCATTGTTCTCATCGCTATTGTTCTTTTCGCCATTGTACTACGTGGTCACAACACCACGTGACTCCTTTGTCCCCATTCGCTATTGTTCTCCATCGTTATTGTCCTGTGACTATTGTTCTCTGATTAGTCAGCGACCGTGTACTTTAGTATATAAGGACAGGTCTTGCACTGGGCACCCCAGTTTGACCTCTTGTACCAATCAAGCGTTCTCACTCCCTAGACCCCTAGTGACCTCGAACCCCCAGACCCCCAGTGAACCAGTGTGCTAAGCTTGTCATCAGTCTGCGTCCTCGTTGTGCATAACCTGCACACGACCCCTTGAGTGCTGACACGCTTCGCTGTAACATTAGGTCAAACTCTTCTTTACGCCGGCTTCTCTAAGCCTAGGCATACCTCTACCTGAACGAGCTGGCACCTAAGCGAGACTGCTCAGGCAAACACCACGCTTACCACGCCAAAGCCAA